TACAAACAGAAATGCCAGTTAATTGATCATGCTGCTGCTGTTGTTTTTTTAATATCATACACATTTGTTATTTTACAGGCTTTTCAGAGGGACCCACTGCAAGAAACCTAGAACACTTTGGAAGGAGAATACGTTTTCATCTGAAAGGTGCAGCAAGTACTGTGACTACCATGGAAAGATCCCACCACATCTTTGCATGAGGTGTGTTCTTTACAGCTTCTGAAATGGGGAACACAGGTTCTGCCTTCATTTCCCACTAGATTTGGTGAAAACACAGGTGAAGAAATGTAGAGCAAGGTAAAACTCCTCCCCTCTCCATAGAGGTTCTCAAATACCCTTACAAATGTAATTGGAATACAACAGCAGAAACTTGTATGCAAAATTTTCAGTTAGTGAAGTTCGGTGGAGTTTAGAGGCATAAATATTGAAGCTGAAGAAAATGATGATTGATAAGAAAACTTTCCACTGAGTGTACACCTAAAATTATAATTTTATTAATAGATGAGGGAAGGTAAAATGCAGGAAATGGTAGCTAAATATGCAGAAAGCCATGTATTCTGCCCCAGTTTAGATGATCATAACTACATGAAATTGGAATGCAGCTGAATAGATTACAATCTGATATTCATTAGACTTCAGCACTGCCGGCAGAATCCCTTATAATCAAGTGCGCATAACATGCTTTCTGAGCACTTTCCCAAAGCCTTGAGTTTATAATGACAGTTAAAGTGCATCTTTTTCCAATAATTACACAATCTGAACTTTGTCTATGCTAATAAGCTTTTAGACAACTTAAATTCCACATTTCAATATTAGAAACCCACTTAATTATAGGTAGTCTCCAGCTTTGCATGTCATCTCTATTAGCATTCATATTCCTCATTGAGCCTGCAATATAATTTTCTATTTATTGTTGTGAACATGCTTCTAATGTACACCTACAATTTCAGGTAGGCCATGGCTGGCAACCAGCCAAGCTCTTAATTTATCTTTACCTTATCTTATTTAGTCCATGGAAAGAGAGCACCGGTGCAAATAGCAGACCTGCCTCGTGAAGGACCATGGTGAGAACATGAACAAACATCAGCTGGTTACCTTCATCATCCTCATCCTCGCGTGGGCCTTCGCACTGGGAGTGAAGAGCCAATGTGCCGAGCCCCTTCTGGAGGGTGGTGCTGGCTCGCCAAGGTGCTTCCTCGGCGCGAAGAGGTTGCACAGCCTGAATTCAGCTCTCTTTCCCATGTGGAAGAAGGAGCCAGGTAGAATTTATTTCTCGCAGGAATTTTTCTTTTGCTGATTAATTGTTTTCCGTACCAGGCTATTATGTTGGTAAGATATTTACAGCCTGTATGAAGAAAATTGCTAGGAAATGAATCCACACAGTCTTGCTACCTTTTGATTTTTCTTTTTTTTTTCCTCTATGACTTTGAAACACTGCTGTGGTTTTGGCTTGCTTCTCTATTCTTGCTATCCTTTTCCGTCACACTCAGTAATTGGCCTAATAAATAGCAGAAACAAGAATTTATTACACCTTGGGCAATACTTAAAACAAACTTTATTTGCTGGAGTAGCACTTTTTATCTACTTGCTGCTGTATATTTTGACACTCCTAAATATTAAATTTGACTTTATTAAAAGTTAAATCTTTTTTTTGTGATTGCTGTTGCTTTTGCATTTTCTGAGGCAGACTACTATATATATATATATATGTATATATGTATGTATAAACGTATTCTAATGAAGCTTCTGCAGAAACAAATTTAAGCAGTGGCTATATCTACTTCATTACTGCCAAAATCCACAAAAATGGCATGATTTAAAGACTAGTCTCTGTAATACTTTGTAAATTAGTCTTGGAATAGTTTCTGCGATGACTTGAGAGAACAAAGGCAAGAACTATACACCTTCTCATGCCTTTTCTGTGCTTAGCTTTTGATGAAATTTCCCCCAAACAAATGATAGCCTTTATGTTTAGAATTGTTTGCCAAAATAATAATGATAATAGTAAAATAAAGTTAGGGTTAGATTGTTGTGATGTAATTTGCATTGCTGAGTCTGTTTTACTTCCACATTACCAAGTGATGGCGAACGATCAAAATATTTTGGTTTTCTAAAAAGTCTTAAGAAATAGCAGTACATATTCCTGGAATTGTTTATGCAGGAATTTTTATTCTTTGAAATATTTCAGTGTTAAAGCAACAAGAAAACATTTAGAATGTCCTTTGGTGGAATCTTATTACACTCGTTATATATGTAAACTGATATTCTTTGATGCCAGCACGTTGCCCATACAGAGAAATCTCTGCACAATTAAATGAAAGGAAAAAGAAAAGGACTAAATAAAAAGTAATATTTTTCCTCTTATCTGATTAGAATTGAATACATTAACAAATTGTCTGGTAACACAAATAGGCAATAATACAAAAAATCTACATTGTACATTATTTCAAGAAAAATAACTTCATTTGAATACAAAAGGATAAATACACTTTTTGTCCTATAGCCACTCTTGTACAGCAGGTGAACGCGGCATCTGGCTGATGCCGTGCTGCTCAGGTATACAAGGGTATGACGGGCTTGAGTTTGACTGGGGGGCTGTTACACATGTGCATCACTAACATCAGACAAAGAAATCGTTCAACCAACAAGGGTGACAGAGCAACGTTCACTAAAGCACGGCTTGGGAGGAGTCGGGGCCGAAGCAGGCCAACGTGGCAGCTCGAGCGGATTTCCTTGGACCCACGGTGCACCGACAGCAAAGGGCGCCCGGGCCGGGCTGGGCCGGCCCTCAGGGCAGCGGGCGGCCTCGCCGCTTCGTTT